TTCCTTTTTTCTTTTTCCTTTTTCCTACCTATTTCAATAGAAATGCAATTATACTACAAATACAATGCACTCTTTGATTTAGCAATGTGAATTTTCTACAACTTGTAATCATGAAGTTGTGAAATCATATCTGGTAAACCAAAATCCGTCTATCTCAACTTGGTAGAACAGCACAGAACGAAGAAAAGCGATTCATGTTCAAGATTATTAAGATTTTCGAAACTTTTAAAACTTCTAAAACGCCCAAGACTTTCAAAAGTTTCGAGCTTCATTTATTTGAAATGATTTCGTCATAAGTATTGATCAAAAGCGATTCCAAGTGTTTCAAATCTCATTCGTGATAGCATGGATATTTGATCATTATATATAGTACATGTCATTAGAAAAGACAACGTAAATGGTACTCGATGTGGAATCGAAGAACTGCTGAGAAGTGTTTGATAAGTAGTATAGACGAATCCAGGGAACTATTGGAAGGAAGTTGATGAAAATGCAGATAAATTTGATGCGCAATCAGAAAACTGTAGGATGCGAACGAGAGTTGATAAAATGGTGCAAAATCAGCGAGTTGTAGGAAGATTTAGTTTTCGTGAACAAACTCGATGCAAAATACGTTGAATGAATTTTCATGAAATTTCCCATAAATGCGTAAAGATCCGTTATCTAGTTATTAAGTAAACGAAGAATATTATTTTATAATTCAATAAAACCTGCGTTTTATTTTGAAAATCAACATTTCGGCTAAAATTGAACGATCAATTATATACATATTACTCGTATGTATAGTACAGTAGCACACTTCTATCTAAACTATATAGTTTATCAATTGGGTCATTGAGAAATTGATCCAAGCGGTGGATCCTGCCATTTGAATTCCTCTTGGTAAGTAACGTAAATGACCCAATAACAAACATTGAGTAACCCAAAGGAAGCAGGGAATACTATCCGCGCTACTTTATCGATGTAAGACACGCTGTTTATATGCCTTGCAATTTTCTCGCCTTTTTTCTTACAATTTCGGGCTGCTTCTCTCTGTCTGCGCCTTCTACAATTAAAATAGAAAGAAATCAAGTATGTTTAAACGTTTTTACGTATGATTTGATAAACATTTTAAATGATATTGTTAACAAATTTATTGCATTAAAATTACTTCTGTTCTTATTTCCAAGTTTATTCTTCTCTTTTCTTAAATAAATAAATTTTAATTTTATTATTATTAGATTAATATTAATATTATAACATTACTATCAGTAGACTGCGGATTTTTATGCACATTCACATTTAATACATTTATTATATTTAAATAGATATAATTAAAAGAGTAAAATTTAGAGAAAAGTAGACATTATTTTATTTAGTAAACGTTATAGAATACTATATTTTCGACGTTCTAATTTCAAAAAAATTGTTTTCAAAATTTCATACAATATATTATCACTGAATTATTCGAAAGAATTTCGAGAAAAAGAAAAATGTGGATTAATTTTTTACCTGTATGCTTCGTCACCAGCAAGGCAATAAATAAATTGACGCCATTTCGGTATCCACACTTCTGTTTGCGTTTGCCTTTCCATTGTTGATGGTTTTGATGTGACAGAGACTGTCATCGATCCTCTTCCATAAGAAACGGATTCCTAAATATAAACTTGTTTAAAGATATACATATATATTTTTCGTAAATATCAGTTGAAATCGTGAATACCCAATGTATCTGTTAAGATTGTATATTTTACTCGCATAGCAATAAACCAATATAAACGAAGTACAATGGATGTGTAATTTGACGATATGTTTAACATTATATTAGGATGTAAATTTTATTGGAAAATTGAAAATTGCAAAAGTTTCTAGCTGTAACAATTTAAACATCGGCAATTTTACTTAAAAATTTTAATTAAAATTCGAAAAGTCGCACTTAAATATTTCTTTAAATAATATCGCTTTAATATCGCTTGATATTAAAAGTACAAATTTTAATAAAAATTGTGAAATTTAAAAACTTATTAATAATGTTTGTAATATAATACCGAATATTGATAAAAAATTCAATTATTACAGTGAGACGATTCATCAGTAGAAAACACAAGTTTTTATTTATATATTTTACGAAAAATTGTTTAAATCTCTAAAGATACATTGTTTCATATCTATAAAATATCTAATTAAAATTATAAATGTAACTGTATATTTTGGTAGTTCTAGCGTTAATGTTTAGTAAATTCAGCAATTTCGTTTATATACACATCATCTATTTACATTAACACCGTAAACATCGCATAACAAAGAACTTCTTCTTCGTGGTACGTCTACTATTGTTTCTGGATGAACTGTTTGAGGACTGCACGAGACAATATTACAAAATCCATCCTGATAATCAGTTTCACTCTCATTTTCCCATTCTTCTTCATCTAGAGGAATTTCTCCGCTACCAACCTAACGAAAACATGTTAAACAAACATTTGTAATTAATAAACCCATAATTGTAATTAATAAACAATAAAATTGGATGAACCTCTCGGAAGCAGAAATTATCAGCTTCACATTTTTTAAACTTCTTAAATTTATTATATAAATATAATATTAATATTTAATTCTTAAGAAACAAATAACTTACTTTCATAAGTTTACTCATCGCATAGAAATGACATAAATAATGATTCCCAACAATTTTGCGATCAATTTTAAAATTACTCAGTCTGATGTTGATAAAATTTTACAAATGAACCATTCACTTGCCAATTTTTTGGCAATTAATTATACAAAAATGAATAGATAAAATGTTATTAATATCTACATGTATTGTCAATATTGATCAACCTTCTTAAATCATTAAATCATTTAAAAAATGTTCATTTCGAACGATTTAAATAATTAATTAAAAGACATTTATAAAACATCTAACAAAAATTATAATTAATTTATGCTCTACAAATGTACTATCAGTCGACAGAACAATTTGATCATTATAATATAATTGGTATGATATATTAGTATGACTAAACTATTACCCATACTGACTTTTCTTTGAGCTCTTTATGTGTTAAAGACTAGATGGATATGATAAAGTTCAGTTCTGATTTAATATTAAATCTTTTAAAATTATTCGAAACAAATGACTGTCTCTTACATGAAAACAAAGTTAATTACATGAAGACATATATCGAGATTAATTTGTATAGTATAGAATGTTCTAGTCAGTTGATTCTAATTTGATCAATTCTAATTGATTCTTATATTCAGTATGTTGTAGTTACATTGTTTAAAAGGTGAATTAACCAATCACGTTTCACATTTGATATGAAATATATATAACTGTAAATATATTAAGTAATAAATGTAAAATTATTCATTTTGAATTCTGTCTCGCTGGTAATGATCTGTTTTATCATGCACTGATTCTTGTACATACATCACAATTAAAACAAAAAAAAAAAAAAAAAACAGCTGATTAGATCGAATCGTGTTCCAGAATGAAAAAGAAGAAGCAGATCTTAAAGAGTTACAATCAATGTAAGAGCACCACCAATTTGAGCAACAACTAATTGTAAGTACCAAGAATTGCAAGTACTAATCACTATGTTACTTTCTCCACGAATTTTGTTCAGCATTTTCGACGACTGGTTCTTCCATTATTATTACCATAATATCGGTGAACATTCTTGCCCTGTGCCATCAATTTTAATTGCCGCAATTTTATTCTCTATTGCTTCATAAACAATTTCTGCAGTATCACTGTGTTTGTATAATGAGATTGTGTTATAAGATTTAACAACGCCATTTTCATCGATGTACCTAATTAAATTCTCATTGTATGTGAATGAAAAAAATTGAGTATTATGCGTACCTTTGTGAAATAGTGCACACCAGCGAATTCTAATAAAGTAGCGATACAATATCCAAAACTCATTAATAAAAACCAGTCGAGAGCAGTGGCGTATCTAACTTTTGGTAAATCTGTTCTGGAATCGAGGCTAATCGTCGATAGTGTCAAAACAGTTGTGATACCTACAACAATAATTTATATGATTGAATAATAATGTTTTTATTATGTAATATAAAATGTACAGCTGTAACGTCTAAAATAATAATTTATTTGACAATGAAACAACATTGTAATAATTTGTTACGCAATATAATATTAATACTATTAAACGAGCCCTTGTTTTTCCTTGTTTTTCATACGATAAATTTTGCAGGATTAAAATGTTGAAGATTAATATGTCTCCTAAACTAATAATAATAGTTTTTCGATATTAATTAAACATAGGTTAATGCCCTGTAGAGAATGTTGCGTTACATCAATTAGTAAATAAAAAAAAATATATTGTTCTATATAAAAAAGTGGAGGTGACCTTAAAATCCTCGAAATCCCTCTATTTGCAAAAAAATTATTATGAATTATGGTACTGAATAACTTTTATTAACAAAGTTTATCCATGTCAACATAATTATTTAAACAATCCCATTTAAGTGGTCTATATATAAACTCTATATAGACCATTTTTTCCTAATAACCCGAAGAAAATTTCGTTAATGCTTATGCTTTTCTTTTAAACACAATACATAAATATTTAAAAATTCAATAGTAGCAAATGTCACAAAATTCCTATTTCATACATTCAATGTATTGTATATTAATAAATATGTGATGAAATATTAATTATAAAATGGATTATGAAAAATGATCAAACATAAATTGTGAAAATGATATATGATAGAGAAAAACAGAATAATAGTATAATATATCAGAATAATATATATCATATTAGTAATATAATATATGAATAGTGTAACATATAGCAGTGTAATGGCATTGGTATAATAATAAAATACGTAAGAGTATTAAAATTTTAAATAGAATTTACGCACTTATCTTGATCATGAAGTTTTACATTATAAAATAGTAAAAGATTTTTCTCTTCATCACGAAATATATCTGTTATTAGTATATTTTAATCCATGCTATAATTTTAAGATATCCCATGTAACTTCTCATAAATATACATATATGTACATTTACGAATTAAATTTACAAATTATTACAATTAAATAATATATGTAATAATAATCATAGAATTATGTACAATGTAACATATATATATTTATTTTAAAAGATTGACTCACCTAAACCAACTCGATCACTAGTAGCTTCTCGATGAATCCAAAAAGATACCCAACTTAAGACTACTATTAAGACACAAGGCACATAAACCTAAAATCAGGAGGAAAAGAAAATGTTATTAAAATTAAAAGTAAATTACATAAATGATGATATTTTTCATAGGTTTTTAATTGTAAATGTATGATATAGCATGTTTATAAAATTTCCATTTTTTTTTTTTCAAGGGCAACCTTGTCAATATGTTCTATTAGTATAATTAAATAGTATTATATCATATACAATATTTTATGAGAGAAGTACAATTTGGAATGGAAAAATTTGTATTGTGATGGAAATAATAATTTAATTTAAACACTGTAAGACAATAATTGATTAAGTAATTACTAAACCATTTGTATTATGAAACAATAGCAATAATCCGAGGATAGCAATTGAATAAGAATTTTATATTTATTAGTATTTAATACAATTGAATACTTATATTCTGTATGCATTGAGGGGATTATTTATACTGACTTACTTGAATGAGAAAATAACCGGTATTTCGTTGCAAATTGAACGAAACTTGAAGAACTGAAAATTCGCCCTCGCGGCGCACGAAAGTTAAATTTCTGTAGGGCGAACCCATTAGATCGAATTGGGAGAGAGCCATTCCAGGAACGAAATTCACCGAGGAACCCTCTTGCCATTCGTAAATTAATTGACCTGACGTGTATGCATCTACAAAACATATAAAAAGAATCAACAATACTGCTTTAGCCTAAAGAAGTTGTAAATTTAATGAATTACTGTCATTGAAAAAAATTTTCTTCATACAGATCAAGTTTATCTTTGATTTTTCTCTAACAAGTGACTACAATAACAGAAATTATGGCAACCAATACGTTAAATATCTTCACTTGGATAATAAATTAAACTGAAAAATAAAAAATACACATTTAGAAAAAAATCTACCATATTAATATTAATATTAATCTACCATACTTATTATTATAAAAAAAATTACTTTTACTGATATTTTTATCGCAGTTTTAAATGCAAAATTAAGTTTTTTCTTTTTTTCTCTAATATATCTTTTTCTTTACTTTTCTTTGTATGTAATATATGATATGCATATGTTTTATAAGTCAACATAAAAGCAACATAAAATTAAAGCAAAACTTCTTAAATCGCGTATTTCTTCATTTCTATTTATGTGTTTATAAATATTTTGTAAAGGTACTTACAACTTCCAAGAATAAGTGGACAGGATTGCCGATCCATGGGAAAATTTCGAAGCTCCATTGGACATTTTGCTTTTATAGTAAGCCTGTTGATGAACATGGACACAGCATATGATTGGGTTCTATGTTAATTAAATAACATTGAACTATACTTTCACATTTGGATATAACACCGATGTTAACAATTTATTATTGAGACACTGCTTTTGCACTCATTGAATTAATAAATATTTTTTGTATAATTTCCAATTTTAATATTTTGCTTTTTGGAAATGATTAATTTTGAACTTGTACGATTCTTCAACTCACCAATCATGAACCAATGGAAATTTATTCTAACATTATAAAAACAAAGGATTAAGTCGCTTAAAATAGTGAGAACCTCATGGAATAAAGGATGTCTCCATCCTGCGTGATCCTCAACAATTTATTCGGCACCGTGATTGTGTGCACGTAACTATGTTTCCCATTATAAAAATAGGTGTCTGGCCTCCAGATTCTTTCTAACATTTTAATGCTCAAGCTGAGCGACTTTATTGGACCCAAGAAACTTAAACGAGTGTCACGCCAAGACTGTCGAAAGTAACAATCCATCGAATAATCCTGTAAAAGAAATTATCATTACTATTAACAGTAAAAGTGTTTATCAACGATAAAGGTGACAACAGTGTGAAATTCAGAAATTACTGAAAGAATTGTATCGCTTGTACTATAAATATATAAATACGTTTACCTACCATATCGAGTTCTGATACAGGACCCATACTTCTTATTAAAATATTGGTTTTCACCACAGTTGGCGTTCCTGCGGAATAAAAATGAACAATTACATTTTTGACGAATGATATATATTTTTTTAAAAATCGATTAACCGATTAATCGATAACGCAATGCCTATGATGACACAGACGAGTTATTTTGTGTGTCTTTTATTAAGATAAATTGAAAACATTGAAGAAAAGATGCAAAATATGGTTTGATAGTGTTAGTAGTACGCGAGATGCCTTCATTGAAAAGCAGAAATATAACTATGATGCGTGATATTTCTGATTGTACGTTAAAGACAATTTTTAGTTCTTTTCTAAACACAAACAATCTATTTTTAATGTTTCATGTTTGACATTAACTACTCGATGATGAAATCTTGTATGTCACTTTATGTGTCACTATTTAAAGTAAACTATCTTACAATTTTGTCGCGTTTACCAGGTGATACTTTCTTAAATATAATTGATACATTTTTAAATACTGAAATTTAATCAAATAATATATGATAGTATAATAAATATTAAATATAATATGATATAATAATAAATGATATATTTTTACTACTAAAATATCCTCTGTTTCTGATTTCATTTCTTTAATTATATAAAAAAATATTTAAATTCGCAGTCTAGTAACGAACTTAATTACTGTAATACAGTATTGTACGACTTTTATTAGTGTCGTTATTGTAATAATAATTTAATATTATTACTGTAATACAGTATCATAAATTTTTACAACGAAGAAAAGAAAACCGACTAAAGGAAGCAACTAGAGACTAGAGCTATACATAAAATAAAAAAAAAAAGAAAATAATAGATGTACTGAGGGAAATGAGTACAGAGGGATAATCGAAAGAATAGTTGGGCATTCTTTCGGATGGAAAAACAGAGAGAGAGAAAGAGAGAGAGAAAGATCACGGGAAATTGAGACCGCATGCTAGAGATAAAGGCGATTCCGAAGGGATAGTTTTCTTCGGCTGGCTGGAATCCAACTTTCCGCGTGTTCCATTCGTATCGGATTCGCTTCTATTTTCCCTCTTTTCGCTCGATCACTTGTCAAAGGTCATTACAATGCTCCAATTTTTTTGTTGTGAACATTTTGGAATCGATATACGGTGGGAAGCATGATGCGTTCCTGTTAAGTCAATCGTCTGGATCTTTTGCTCCACGATTATATTTACACATATAAAGGAGTGAAATCTCCTTTGATCGAACCACTAATTTTCAAATATCTTAACCCTTATGTTGAGTTTCTTCCTCAGTTTTCCAACTTAATTTGTCCCTTGCTGACAAATTGGCACAATGGTACAAAAGATTAATGGTACTAAATGTAGCACAGTTTTCTTTTACCTGAAATTTTATTTAACGAATATCTGATTATTCGATTATTATATTCACTACAATAAAATGTATGTTAGTGAGCGATAACTTTTTCCACTTACTAATAGAGAATTTGGTTGAATAACACAACAGTTGAGTTCTGTTTCTTCTCTAAAATGTAGTTTGCATAAAAATATAAATTTGCATGAACATGAGACTGCAGTCTTATTTTAATCGTTTTATACAAAATATATTATACTATAAGTAGATTAATTAAAGAAGAAATTAAAAATATTATACGTATGTGCATAATGTTATCATATACAATTATGTCATATTTATATATATATACATATACATTGTATATATATTTGTTAATATATGAATATGATGAATATTAGTATAATATAATATAAAAATATATTATTAAATAAATTATAATATGATGCATATTTAGTATTATTATTTAATATTATAATTATAATATTATAGTATTATCATTGGATACTATGATATTGGCATTAATATACGAATATAATTATTAGTACTAATACATAAATATTATTATATGAATGTAATTTTATATATATATATATATATATTAGTATATTTATTTTAAATATTAATAACCATCCAATTTTGTGGACTACATTTAAATTATGTTAATTCTTTCATCCTACAAAATTTGTTACATATTTTTTTGCGATATGTATTCCACACTTCAATTAATCCATAAATTCAAATTTTTTGACATTTTCGCGTGCGGTATTTCTTTTTACAGTGAAAGATATATGGATCTGGAACAACGGGACCAATTAACTCTGCCTATTATTTCAAGGCTTCTCGTATACATCTACATAGAAAACTAACAATAAGTCAATAAGAAAAAAATGTCTTCCAACAATTGTTTTCTTTTCAAAAAAATGGATGTTGAATATCTGCTTTAAATCAACAAATTATAAAATATTTTTTATTAATATTTTATTAGTTAATATATTGGTTATTTTAGTAATACTAATGTATTAATATAATAATAATATATTTTATATATAATAATATATTTACAATGTAATAGTAAGTACAGTAACATAATTATAATTGAGGGGAGAGATACATGTACAATATGAACAGACGAGTGTTTAAAAATTTTTTGAGTTCGAGCAAAATGAGAAAACATTACAAGTATTAAACAAGACATATATACGGCGTCTCAAATATTCAAACATTGTCAATATGTTACTTTTTAATTAAAAAAATGATACAAAAATACTTTAAAAATATTTTAAACATTTTTTTCTGACTCTCGAATATCTATCGCTTGTATTATTGTACAACTCATTATTGGAAATTGGACTACTATGCACGTTACTTTTGTATGTTTATAATAAACAGAAATTTATAGAAACAAATTTTGTTAACGTATCATTCGTTTTCACAAAAATATTGCAACAAAAATTAGTCGCGCCAATGCTTTTCTGAATACCACTGTGTATTTGTTTTATTTTCCAATTACGTACAGGAAAAGGAAGAAAACAAAAAAAGGTCAAACAGAAGAAAGAAGTGATATCAATTTCGAGAAGTTCCCGAGCGCTCGTTCGAATCAGAGAGCCTCTCAAAACAGACAGTTACTTCCGGTGACACCGGTCAGAGCCAATTGAAACTGTCCGATACTACATTTACCCGTCGTAAAAAAAAAAAAGTGACTCGAAGATTCCATTAGATTGATAGGAAATCAAAGAGTAGGTATGGAAATTGAAATTATATAGAAGTTAAGAACAACGTATCAGAATTCTTTTTCTTTTTTCCCCAACGAACTTCCGTAATCGTTTAATCCTTTCATCATCAGGATTGAGATAATCCAATTTACCCGGACTGACCTGATGGAGCGAGAAGAAATTTCCAGAAACAGTTAATTGTTTCAACGAAGAAACGAAAAAGTTATCGTAATCCATTTTTTATGTATCATGAACTGGTATTGAAGAAGATTTAATTGACAAGTTTTCTTTTGTCCTTGCGATACAAACGAACAACGAAGAAACAAATTTTTTGTCCTTTTCTTAAATTCTTTTTTTGTTATATATAATTTTTTAGTTTTTTATATTATTATATTATATTATTATATTTCATATTATATATTATATTATTATTTGTTTGAATTACATATTATTTTCTATTTTTATCTTTATTTCGTTTTCATTATTACATTCTAATATAATAATATACATATATAGTATTATATATAGTTAATATATTTATATTAACTATATTAATATATTAATTATAATTTTCTTATTTTGTATTTTCGTTTTATTTTCATCGTTATATTCTATTTTTCATTTTTTATTCTCACACTTAATTTTAATTTTATTTTAATTTTAATTATATTTTAATTCTGTTTGTTTACTATACTTACATATGTAATTTAATGTTTCATTAAATTGTGAATTGTAAAGACAAATACCGAGAGATTGAGAAACTATTTATAGTATTATAAACATTAATATTTGACCATTGAATGAAAGAAAAAGTAAATTAAAATAAATAAAATATTTCAAATAGAAATTTCACTATTTTGAGTATATTCGAATAAAATGTAATCCAAAGTACAATTTCAAAAATTTTTTTCAACAAATAATATATTTCAAAACTATATTTTAAGTAAAGTTTCACTTAAAATAAAATAGACTATTTACCATTTGTTATTTAGAATAATATTTTACCCGATTCTTACATACAATAAAATATCGATGTAGCAAAAATATAAAAAATAATGTTTGGTATAATGATACAAAAAATTTTCAAGCTGAAATACTCATCCGAAGTATGTTTATATACAAACATGCAAATATAATTGTTTCTTTACCCTTTCCGTGAGTAGGTAGTTGATTGTTCTCGTAATTCATTAGAAGATTGTCAAGAACCATTGTGATATTTCTAGAAACAATATCGTTGACGGTTCCTCTGGTCAATACAGTTTTCGAAGAAGCCTTCGGGGACAATGGAGAAACATCAAGTGCGTAATTTCGATTTTTACACGTCAACAGTAATACGAGAAATATGAACCTGCGAAAACCAAACATCAACTTAATTGAGCAAAATGATATTTTTAATTATACTATTAATTATATAACTTTACGTTGTTGGAAAAAATAATTCAGAGAAGCAAATCAATTTGAGAAATTACTTTGTTTCACCGAGCACACAGCGTTTCTTTATTCTTCACATTTTGAACACACACTCTATACTCTGATCCTTCTTCTTTTTTCCCTAACTCGCAATACACTACATTCACACGACACACATACATATATTACCAACCTTGGTTGTTTCACTCGTCGACATTCATAATGTACCAACCTAACACTTTAATTACACTTACAATTAATGGTATTTAGTAATTATTTAAATATTATATTTAATTATTATATTTAAATAGTTATTTAAATAGTTAATTATTATATTTAAATAGTGTCATTTTATAGTATTTAAATTCTGATTTAAATATTTACATATTTACATCAATATTTCTGATTTAAATATTTCATATTTGTATCAATATTATATCTAAATTCTGTATTATATTAAAACAATATTAAATTCTATACAAGTCACTAGAACTCAATTAATATATAAATCTCATATATGAATAATCATATATTTCTAACATTTTAATAGATATTTCTATTTATTTATATCATAAATTCTTGTCCACAAACTCTTGTTTGTTTAGCCACACGTTTAGAATCATCATCGTATTAACATATTAGACAGGTAACATTATGAAATGTTCCATTCATACCTAATTACGTTTTGCACTCGCAATATATCCTTGTAACTCTGACAACTCTGATTTTTTCATCGATAAATGTGCAGTTTGTTACACGACAAATGCCACTATAAATTGACGTATTCACCAGCATGTTGGCATCATTGAGCAAAAATTTTTCGAGATCCAAAGTTTCATACAAAATTTTCACTTGACAAATACACAACAACCTTGTATCCCGAAGAAAAACGGTCGTGCCGATTTTCTGTTCCTCCTCTGTTTCGACCATTCTACTTTAAACGGCGTGTGTAACAAGAGAGAGAGAGAGAGAGAGAGAAAAGGTGAAAATTTCAAACATGGTTCGTCGAAGGAGAAAAAACGATTGGCATGAAGTAAAAGTGAAACGGTAAGAGAGATGAGTATCCGTGGAAGGAGGAAAGGGTTGAGGTAGAGGGGGACAGGAGTAGAAAAGTGCTCTCCTTAGCCGCGGATTCAGCAACTTCCGACGAGGGTGCCCCTTGATGTTTCGAGTGAACATTCTCCCTCGTTACGTCAGAATCGCCCTTTAAGCTCTTCCGGTGCCCTTTTTGTGAAAAGACTATTGACAGCGAGATTTTTTTTTTTTTATAAATTTGTTTACATCGTGTCCTGTTTTTAAGAGGCGTAATAAATGATTTGAAAACTTTGCTTTAGATTGAATGCAGAGGAGTATTATAATATATATGTATATAATATTATAATATATATATAATATATAATATAATATATATATAATATATAATATTATAATATATATATAATATTATAATATATATAAATTGTAGCATATTATTTAAAAAGAGAGAAATTTATTGATACCAAAAAATACTCTCTACAATTGATATTGATATTATATTTCAGCTTATGATGTTGTATAAAATTTTGTTTTGATTCAATTGTGTGTGTTAGTACTTTCTAATAACGATAAAATTATATGTTTTGGTTCGTTAATTACTATTGTGTTTGATCTTACAACTTTGCAGAAAATTGTGTATTGGTAATAAAATTAAATTATCAGTAATAATTAAATAAAAATAAGATAATTTAGATTAATTTAAATCTCTGGGAACAGTTTCAAAATTTTAAAAATAACAGAAAATTTAAAAAGAGAAACTTGTTTGTGTTTATAAAACTTGCAAATATTTATATTATTAAAAAAGAAACAAATTAATAGTTAAAATTATTTATTTTACCATGTTTAATCTTATAACTTTCCAATTTTTTAATAGTAATGCATTCAAATTAATTTAAATAATTTAACATCTTTAATTCAGATTTATTATTTAGGCACGAAAGATTTAAAAAAGAAAATTTATTTATATTTATAAAACTTCCAAATATTTCTATTATCAAAGAAGAAATAAATATATTAACAATAAAAACTGTATTTAATTCTATCGAGTTTGAAATCAAATTGTGTGTTACAATATTATTTTCTAATAGTGGTAAAATTAATAAATTGATTTAAGCCTTTAGTAATAATTTAAATTAAGTACAAAAATATTTAAGAAACAAGAGTTTCTAAATATTTTTACAAGTATATTATTAAAAAGAAAAAAAGTGTGGATATACTTTGTGTATTCTATATCCTATTATCATGTCTGACCTTGCAACTTTGTGTAAAAATTGAAATTACTTTCATACAAATTTTTATGCATCTATGAAGAATTTAAGAATGCAAAAAACACAATAATGTACAAAAATATATAAAACGGCGTGTTATAAAATTTATTTGTTCTGGAAACAAACTTCCGTTTAGATTTCATTTTTTTAAAGATCCACGATCCAGTAATTATTTCCAAGCACATAATGACAAAGTCACATAACTTGAATTAATTTTTCTTCCATATTGTAAACTACAATTTGGATTATCCTCACATTCTGTTCTACATTCTATTGGGTTATCCTCAATTTCATATTGCAAAAAATACGCGAATGTGGATTATATTCTGCGAGAGCATGTGTACAAAAAGCGTGTGTACACTTCAAAGCTGCCAAACAGAAATTACAATGGTTTCTCGCTTGTGAAAAAGACGATAATTAACCAGGAGGTACAAACCGACGAAAGAGTAGTAATTTTTTTCTTTTTTTCCTTTTTTTTTTCGGTCGTTGCAGGCACACGTTTACCAGGAACTCGTGCCACTTTAATTTCAGCTTTTTCATTAACGGTCTGTATCAATATTGCCATATTTGGCCGGCTAAATAATCGATGCGAAATGCAGATCTTTGCCACTGCTTTCATTACCATAATTTACTCCTCTATTTAATTTCTTCGTTTAATACATGTGGCACCTCTATTTCTCACACTTCTAAGAATATTCGATTTCTAACGTAATCGTGTAACTATGATACAAATGAAATAAAATAAGAAGATGGTGGCAGAGTTTTTGTACTTATAGTATGGATATAAGTAGTTCAACTCGTTGTTTGATTTTCAGTACATTCACTTTCATGATGTTCCTTTATTATATTTTATTATATTTATATTTTATTTATTATATTATATTATATTATATTTATACTTTATATTATATTATATTATATTTATACTTTATATTATATTATATTATATTTATACTTTATATTATATTATATTATATTTATACTTTATATTATATTATATTATATTTATACTTTATATTATATTATATTATATTTATACTTTATATTATATTATATTATATTTATACTTTATATTATATTATATTATATTATATTATATTATATTTATACTTTATTATATTATATTATATTATATTATACTTTATTATATTATTATTATTTATATATTTTATATTGTCAAACTTAATTAGATTTCATTTTATTGTACATATCTTTCATAACTCTTTGTTGTATAATTATTTTATTTATACAACTTCGTTTTGTTTTTTATTTTGTAATTTTAATTTATTAATAAATTCGAACTTGCTACATTTTTCTCCTATTATAGTATCAATTCAAGTTTGTTTTGATAACTTGGCAATTAATTAATAAACCGCGAATTTTTATGCATTTGAAGAAAATTACATTATAATATTTCACGTATGGAACAAATCTCTGTCCAAATTATCTTTTTTAAATTACTTTCAAAAAAATATATATATAAATTTACATAAAAATCCGCAATAATTAAATTTATATCTTTCACGAAACACTTGGAATATTATTCAACTGCATCATTTAAATTTACTTCTAAGTCATGAAGCGAAACGTACAATATACAATAACATGTAATTAGTTCTTTTATGTTTCGCTCTTTTATCGAGATATGAAGTTGATGTTGATTTTTTGCATTTTAACGTTTGATCCTGCAATTCAAAAGAATATTTACTAGAATGCCGAATGAAAAAAATTAAACATACGCACGTATGTTGTTAATAAAATAGAATATTCGTCAACTGCTTGACAGGAAAATTAGCGACGACTAAAGCATAAAATTTTCTATGACAAAATATTCAAGTAAAAAGATTAGAAAATCTTTGTGTATAAACATAAAATAAACAATAAAGTTTTATTTATACGTTTCACTAAGAATATAAAAGTATTAAAGTAAAAAATTAGAAAACCTTAGGAAAAAATTAGAATGATCAAAATGTTGAAGTAGAAAAATACATAAAGAAAATCTTTATGTATTATATGCAATAAACAATAAAGTTTTTATTTATATATTTCACTTGAATCTCTAAAAATATACTGTTCTGTATCTATCTAAATTTCTGACAAAAATTCTGAATTGATCACTTTGGTAGTTCTAGTGTTGAAGATTGATTTACTTTACAAAAATTTGACCCATTATAATTATTGATTTAATAAGAGAGCACCAGTCACGATTAGGCTAGGCACGATTAATTAGAAAATTATTTCTCAGCTTGTGATTTGTGATAAACTTCGTTTTTTTAGATGCTCTTAAAAAAATAGTATATATTATTAAATAATAATAATTATTATTATTATTATAGTATATATTATCGTGTCCATAACTAATAATAGCAACGATATTAATAATAATATTATTATTATCATAACGATTATGTTATTAATATATTATATCAAATTGTTTTAACAATCAAAGGATATTCGTGGGCCATAAATTATTTCTAACGAGACGATTGCTGGCTCTTATTAATAGTCCTTCGTACAGGAGTGATTTCATGCGACAAGCAACACATAAAGTAATTTTATACTGAAACAATCAGTACGTTCATCGATTGAAAATGATAATGACTACTCACGTTAACATCACGTTAGCTTCTTCTCCTCCAAGCGACACCGTGGGATTTCAGTCGGAAAAAAAAAAATTAAATAAGCTCGAACCGAATACCGGCACTCGCGAAGTAGATCTACATGCGATTCTTGTGACAGATCCTCGTGGATCTCCCACCTGGGCGAGATGAAACTTACTGCCGCGCAAACTCCGACAATCCTGCCTTCCACGACGTTCAACGAACTTTGTTATCGTTTCTCGTGTCTTCTTTATTCCTTTGTGCTCCGTGTTCGATCATTCACAATGCTATCGGCGGGCCTCCTCGTTTTTCGCAATTTCTTTTTCCCTTTTTTC